CTCCTCCCCCTCCTCCTCCTTTTTCTTCTTGAGACAAGGTCTCACTTTACAGACCAGGCTGGCCTTCACCTTGAACTCCAAGCCATCCTCCTGCCTCAGCCCTCTGAGTACTAAGACCATAGGTGGGCACCACCACACCCGGCTCTTCCAGGCTATCAAGATCAACCGAGGACACCCAAAAGGTGCAGCAAGGTCAAGGATTTATTCAGAGAGAAAGTACACACTCCACAGGGTAGGAGGGGGCCCAGCAAGACAAGATTCACAGCTAGAGGGAGTTTGCTGCTGATGGTTTTAGGCATTAGGGTTTGGGGTAGGATTGAGGAATTTGTCTGAGGTTTTGCCTCTACCCATGAGACTTTGTGTTAGAACTGCATAGTCCAGACATGGTAATGAGGGCTGGAGCTGGCCACAGGTGATGTACAATACCGGGCACCCAGAGATTTAATTTTGTGTGAGGTGAGCTTCCTGCTTCCTCTTTCCCATTGTTTTTAGATCTGGGTGCCCTGACCTGGGTTAAAGTTTAACTCAAGAAGGTGGATCTCACCAAGAAGGGAGATTTAAAGGCTTCTCTCTCTGTGGGGTCTCTTAGCTACCTCCTGCCTCAGTCCCTTCTGGAGGAAACTGTCCCTTCCACAGCTCCTGCTCACAGGGGTTTTGTGGTCACAGGATGTTAGCCATGGCTGAATGGGCCAACGGGGACCAGACCAGCGCTTGGTCAGCCCGGTGCTTGTCTGCTGGAAGTGGATCCAGATAAGAAGTGGTGGATGGAGTAGAAGCAGCAGAAGCCAAAGTCCAAGGGTGCAGAGAGAGGCGCTGAGGCCAAGCTGCTTAAGGGGAGTTGCAAGGAGTGAGTGTCCGGCAGAAGTTGAAGTTAGCAGGAGTCTGTAGAGATGGGATGGGGCCAGGGAAGGCTGCTGGGCAGTAGAGGGCCAACACAGAGAAGTTAGTCCCACCAGTGTGGTTCTCCAGGTCCTGAGGTCAAGACTTTGCTAGAACCTCACCCTTGGACTCTGCAAGATTTCATCACCAATTTCTCCCCGCTCTCATTATCACCACTGCAAGGTCCTGCTCTTGTTTGCTTTATTTTGCTGTCATTCATTTGATTAGCATTTTTCCTTCCTTTTCTTTTCACCCTCCCCATCGTTCTATCCTCATTCTCTTCCCTCTCCACCCATTTCAGGATGTGTAATGTGCGCCTTTTTTATTCTGATGTGTTCTTGGAAAAGGCACGCTGCACTCACAGAGCTTCCGTCTCCATAAATAGGGTTTGTGTTTTACTGCTCAGTGTTTCTCATCCCATTCGCTCAGCATCGGGATTCTGAGGACAACCCAGGTCACTATGCGGAGATCAAATCTGTACTTTCTAACTGTTGTGTGGATCTCTGCTGGGCTGTCCTGCCCCATGGCAGCTGTGCACACTGGTGATGGACCCTGTGTGCTACCCCAGTGCCTTCAGGAGCAGCCTTGGGCCTGTCCCTTAGGGGGCCCTCTGGCAGTGTCATTACCAGGTGTGAGATGTGCCTGTAACTAATCTAACTGATGTCATGTGGCCCTTCCGAAGACTGCCTGGGACACACTCCCTGTAGGATTGTTTGAGGATTCTTGGACCTCCATTTCCTGACAAATACTTGGCATTCTCCAGCTTCTTAACTTTTAAAGTCAGATAGGAATCGAAGGATGTTTCATTACTCTATTCACATTTTTCTGGCTATGGAAAATCTGAGCACCTCTTCATTACCTGTGAGGGTCTTTCCAACCGTGCCCCTTCCCCCCACACATGTGTGTGCATGCCCTTGTATGTATCCAGTTGAGCCAGCCTGACCGTGCCTGACCCAATGCCAAGCACAGCACCTGGCCTATGGTGAAATGCCCAGAAAACATCTGTTGAGTAAAAGCCACCCCAAAGACCAAGCAAAATACATGAACTGGGATGCTTACAAATCCTTGAGTTAGCCTCAGAAGCTAGTCCCTGAGCATGGCGTGCTGGCCAGGTAAGAACAGGCAAACCCCGTAGCACACCCACACACAAATGCAACTTCACAGTGATACCGGGGTCTCAAACTTCCTGGGATTCCATTTGAAGTATCGCACCAAGGCCCTTGCTGTTGGGCCTTCCTCGTGCTCTGCAGAACCCTATCCTTCCCTCCAGCCTTGTCAGGTGCTGGCCCGTCTTGTAGCCTCAGCCTGACTCTGAAGGTCAGGGAGCCAAGGTCATTTTTGACTAAGATATTGTGCAGTTGGCCCTCTGTATCTGCAAACCCTGCATCTGTGATTCAACTGGCTGCCGATGGAAAATACTGGGAAAATTATGCCTGTACGGAGCATGTGCACAATTTTTCTTGTCATTATTTCCTAAACAATACAACAGCCATTTGCATAGCATTTACATTGTATTAGGTAGTACAGGGAATGCAGAGATGATTTCAAGTATATGTCTAAGTTATATGCAAATACTAAGAGATTTTATATAAGGATCCTGAGCATCTGTGAATTTTAATATCCCTGGGTAGGTCCTGGAACTACTTACCTTCAGATACCGAGGACGATTTCAGTTCAGCTGGACTCTTACACTAGCATGTCAACAATACTGTCTGTGCATAGCTCTGCCTGGGCCCTACCAGCCCCACACCTTGCTATAAGCCTCGAGGTCCCTTCTGATGGCCATAACATTGACCCTTATACACAGTGGTTGTTCACTGAGGATGCCTCGCCAGGTGGCAAAGGCTCTCGTGTTCCAGGGACAATGCTTACATTCTGGGGGCTATTGAGGGCTGCGGGACCAGCTGGCAGGGAGTGTCTGGGAGGGCAAGACTCTGGAAAGCCAGAGCTAGTACTGAAACTCTGTGCAGAGAGGCAGGTCCACACTTACTTGGCATAGGCTTTCTCCAGCAGGCAGGGCCAGAACTCTTGGTTGCCGTTGCAAGGCTTCACGAAGAGGCATTCCTCACCCACGACAGGCAAGCGGTCATCAATCACCACCTCCACCCACTGGCCACACTGCCAGAACTGGAAGAGAGACAAGCACATCTTAGCAGAGATGGGGCAAAGCGGAACATCTGCAGGCCTCTAACCTCAGCCAAAAGATCTCCACAGTTGCAACATGACCTCCATGACACAACAACAAACTAGATGTAGAACAAAATCCCTGCTCAGCCAAGGGACAAGCATGTCATCTCCACTGGCAGAGGGGGAACAAGAGTGAACCAAGGGAGATACTGACAGGGGGGAAAGACACCTGGGTTTGACTTTGCTACTACTTGCTTTGGCAAGTCCTTTGTGAACTCTGCAGGTAGTTTATGCATATGAAGGGAAGCAGAGGGAGCAGCCCCTGAATAGCAAGAAGAGCAGTGGGTTACAATGGGGAGGAGGGCCTGCCAGAGCTGTGGGCTTGAGGGAGTGCCAGGATTTAGCCAGGTGGGGAGGACACAGGGAAGGCATCCCAGATGGTGAGGACCACATGGGCAAGGGCCTGGAGGCAGAGTGATGTGCACGGCTCAGGGGGACTGAGCAGCGACAGCCTCACTCTGGCACGCCTACCCTCATGTCACACTGGCCTTACCACTACAGCAAAGCAATGAAACTGGCTGGCACTGCCACCACTAAGAGTGCAAATGAGCCAGATGTTCCTCTCCAAAACAGACTGTTTTCATCTTTAGCATTCAGCTCTAAATGGTTCACCTGGGGACACTGCCAAATGAGGAACATTCATTACAAAGGCCAGGCATTTGAGTTTCTTTGCTGGCATCCCCTGTGCTGCAGAAGCGGCAAGGCTGCTGGCTTCAGCCTGGGCCTCACTGAAGGTAAATTTCCACTAGGTGGGTTGTGCTAAAGCTGGGTGCATGTGACCTCTTGGCCGCATGGTCTTTTCCACAGCTGGATGTCCCAGACAGTGGGTGGTCATGGCCAGCTGAGGACATGTTTTCAGAGAAGAGATAGAGACTGACATGTCAGCAAAGATGAAGAAAAGGAGATATCTTCACAGCCATTTAGGAGCCAGAGCATTGCAGCTGTGGACTTCTGTCCCTGCTGCAGTGAGTAATAAGATGTGGGGTGGTGAGGCTGCAGCAGCAGGGAAACCAGAAGTGTTTGGGCAAAGCATCCAAGGTGTCCCTCAAGTGCTGGGTGCTTTTTAGAGCACTACCCAAGCTCACAGTGGTAAGAAGAGGTCTTCGGAGGTCAGCTGCTTCCGGGGAACTATGTGACTTTCTTTGCTAGCCAAAAGGACAGTGTGTGTCCCACCTGGGCTACTGGTTGTCATAACCACCTAAGTTGCTCCTACCAATGCTGGCAGCCCTGTGGGGATCCAGGCACAGCTCACTGGATTCTCTAGTTCAGTCTTCAGAGCAGTCCTTAGACCAGCAGCAGTGGTGGCAGCACCAGGGGGCCTGTCAGAAGACCTAGAGTGCATGTAGTTGGACTTCAGGAAGTGAACACAGGGTACAGGAGGAGGCCCAGAAGAAAACTTATCTGAGCAGGAGGCTGGTCTTCAGATATGAAGGCTCACTGCACCCCAGGCAAGAGTATTTCTTAAAAGATATACACCTATATCAAGAAATCTGTCCCAGAGATTTAGCTCAGTGGTCTGGCACATGCCTTGCAAGCGCAAGGATCCGAGTTCGATGCCTGGTGCCAAAAAATAAAAATAAAAAAAGAAATCAACCAATAACAAATGCTGGCTCTCTGCTGGGCTGCCCTGATCAGGGCTGTGGGGAGAAAGGAACCCTTCTCCACTGTTGGTGGGAGTGCGACTGATGCAACCATTGTGGAAATCAGTGTAGAGAGTCCTCAAAACACTAGGACCAGAGGTTCCATTTGACTCAGCCATCTCCCTTCTGGGCATCTTCCCAAAAGAATTAAAAGCATCAGTGAGGCACACCCCTGTTCATAGCAGCACAGCTTGCAATAGGTAAATCTTAGAAACAACCCAAATGACTGTCAACTGATGAATGGATAAAGATGTGGGTTAAAAAAAAAAAAACACAACACATAAAGCCATAAAGAAGGATAAACTTGAGACATTTACAGCTAAATGGATGCACCTTACTAAATAGAGACCACACTTTTAAGTGAAATAAATCGGACACACATGTACAAATATCACATTCTCTGGTGTGAGAAAGTGGAAGTGTAAATAAGGACCAAAATGTATAATAAATATTGTGAAATAGGAAGACAATGTTCACATGGGAAGAGGAACAAGGGAGGTGGGAGAGGGAAAGGAAGGTAGGGAAAAGAAAAAAAATGAGAAAAGAAGGATAGAATGGAAACAAATCTCGTGTAAATAAGAAGGAGAAGAGGGGTAGAAGGGAAGGCAGGGGAGTGGGAAAAATGTGAATCAAGATATATCACATACAGGTACAAATTCCATACAGTGAATATGACTACTGTGTGTTTCTAAGCTGCACCAATAAAATGAATGGGTTTTCAAAGGCACACATCTGGATACATTCTAGAGAAAACTGACGAACTCCAGAGAGAGAGAAGCTCTTAGAGACTTACAGTTTGAAAGTACACGCTGCACACAAAATCAAAACAGGAGATTAACAACAGAGTTTTCCTCTGCAACTTTGGAAGCTACAAGACAATGGGACAAGGGAAATTTTGAGGAAAAAGGAATGTGATCCAAGAATCCTACCGGTAGCCACAATGTCATTTGTGAGTGTAAATGAAAAACTTGCACGCAGTCTTGGAAAAGTAAAGGACTACATCTATCTACTGAAAGATAAATTCAAACAAGGAAGGCAGGAGGGGGAAGGGGAGAAGCAGTGGTAAGGAGTGAGTTTGGGCATTCTTTTGGTAAGAAATCTATCTGTGACAGTGAAAATGAGATCGATAACAACATAAGTAAAAATATGAGAGGGAATTGTAATAATAGGAAGCCGGCCCAAAAATGTATATTCTGAAAGGCTTTTAACATTAAAAAAGAATAACAGTCTTAATGCAGTTTCACAAAAGAAAAAAGAAGGGCCCAGGATTTAGCTCAGTGGTTCCACTACCTGCCTCACAAGCACAAAGTCCTGAGTTTGGTCCCCAGTACCACAAAAAGAAAGAAAAGAAAATTAGCCAAGAGAAAGTAAAAGAGAATTCATAAAAATCAAATTTAAATTTGTTATATAAAAAGAAATACCTTAAAGGAAAAGAATAGAGTGAATGATGAAAACCAAAAGTTGATTTGTTGAACAAAATCAATACAACAGATCAGTTGGATTAAGACAAGCTGGATTAAAAAAAAAAAAAAAAAAGAAAAATAAAAATATAGCACTGAGACCGAGAAAGTAGATTTAACCACAGATTTATACACATTAAATAAGTTTTCACAGAATCATTTGAGCTACTTCATAGCTTGGAAATATAGGAAAACAGTTGATTTTTTTTCCAGAATACTATAAATTTCAAAAGTTTTCATAGAAATAAGTGGCCCAAGCAAATTAATAGCTACTGAATACACTGAAGAGTTAAAGAAGCCTCATTTAAAAAGGAGGTATAACTATTATCTATTTTCCTTTATTTCCATCTTGTCTATATTACTTTCAGAGGGCAGCTAATCAATGATTAGCAAATTTCATTTAAATTATTTCAAATTAAAAAGTAGGCTATAATCAGTTTCCTTTAAAAAGCTAACTCAAATGTGATAAAAATAACAAGCTAGCAAGTAATTTTACATGTGATATAGGTACAAAAATTCTGATAAGATTTTTAGCAAATTAAATCTGACAGCATATCAAGAAAGTATATGACGAAAATCACAAGAAGGTGAGATTCTGACTCTTGTCACTGACTTAAAATTGTGAGGTTCTAATTAGTGTGATGAGGTAAAAGAGCAAGTAAGTTCCACAAATATCAAAAGGAGAGACACAATTACTGTTAGTTACAGATGTTGTGAGGTTACTAAAACAATGCAGATTCTACTAAAGGAAAAAAATGAGAACTAATAAAAGAATTTAGTAAGGTGGTGCAATGTATAACACACCACAGCTTTTTCTTCTTTTACAGTGACATATATCTAGAAATGAGAAAAAAAAAACCCTAAAAGCTTCACTCACATTGCTATAAAACTGAAAAATATCTGAGAATAAATTTACCAAGAAAGGTACACCATCAATACGAAAACATAAATGTAACATTTTATTGAAGCGCATAAAACTAATTCTGAATAAATAAAAAGATATACCATGTTTCTGGAAAGGAATAATTAAAACAATAAAAACGTAATTTTTCCAAATTAACACATAAATTGAATGCAGCTCCATTCAACATCACAGCAGCTTTTCTTTTTAATTAGACAAAATGATTTAAAAATTCCCATGGAGGAATAAATGCACAAGAATTATCAGGATGATTTGGAGAAACAGGTAATTAATAATGAAGGAAAACTCATCTACCCAGATATTGTGATGTCCTATAACACTCCTGCAATCAAAATACCATATCCTGGCACAGGGATAAATATAGAGGTGAATGATAGTTACAGGCTTCTGGATCAGTGACTCCTTTTCTTTTGCTAATTATTCCTATCACTTCTTATTTCAACGAAAACATTTTAACCCTCACCTTCCCTATGGGTGGTCAGGTCATAAGCCCAAGTCCCGATTTGGTCATAGGCAGGGTAACCAGCACATGAAGGTCACTCTCGCGGCAGGGCCGCAGGCCATGAGCACATTCAGGTCTCTCCGAGGGCCCCATATATAAGGAGCACCCACAGCTCACATACCCGAAAATGGAAAATCCCCGCATACTGGTGTGAAAAACTTTGCTCCATCAGGATCTTCTGCAGACACTGAGGGTTCTGGGTCAAGGAGCCCAGTGCTGCCAGGAACCAGCAGTCCCCTAGGAGGAGATAAAGTTCTGAGACACCAACTGGATGTCCCTGAAAGCCCCACTCCACAATCTCACAAGTCCCAGCCACCAGTGTCAGGACACTTCCTTCTGAATCCAGGTCCCAAGAAATACTTGGGATCAGAAGAGTTTGCAATTTTAATTTTTTTTTTAAGGTTTTAGAATATTTGCATATAAGTTACCTTGGGTGCCGGACCCAAGTCTAAATAGGAAATTCATCTGTCTCATATACACTTTATATGTATTACTAGAAGGACATTTTAAACAATATTTTTAGTGCACATAGGTTTTGACTGTGACATGCCATATGAAGTCAGGGGTGAAAGTTTTTACCTGTGGCATTGTGTTAGTGAGCAAAACGTTTCAAAGCAGGGCATGGTGGTGCACGCCTGTAATCCCAGCAGTTGGGAGGCTGAGGCAGGAGGATCTCTGTGAGTTTGAGAACAGCCTGGGCTACATAGTGAGTTCCAGGTCAGTCTCAACTACATAGTGAGACCCTGTCTCAAAAAACCAAACCAAGACAAAAAATATTCCGATTTTGGAGTATTAGGGGTTTGGGAGTTTTGATCTAGGATGCTCAACCTCTAAGGAAGTTTTGCTCGCTGAGAGAGAAGAACGGGGTAAAGGATTCTCTGGGGCCAGTTCCAGGCAAGACAGAGTGAAGGTGGTGGTGGTGGTAGTGGTGGGTGACAGTGCACTGAAGAGGGACGGGGAGCCCCAGGCTTTGGCAGAAAATGGAGGTCCAATTTGCTCTCTGGTTCTCTTTTTGCCAGAGGAGTCCAGAGCTAAAGTGACAGTGAGTTTTTTACACAGGTAGAAGTGGTACTCTGTACACTTACATAAACTGTATTGGTGTTTTCTTTGTTCCTCCCAACCCATGCAGGGTCCTCAGAAGACCACATGGGGGGGGTTTCTCCTCTGTGAGCTATGCGGTCTCGAGTTTTTCCTTAGATATCACTGTGAGCCCTTTTGAATATGCCTATCTCCCCGAGTCTGCCTTCTTCACCTAGTGCTACTTCACGTCAGGCACTGTGGTTGGCACAGAAGTCACAGAGACACCTCCAGAGAGGTCCTTTCTCCAACCAGGTGATATTCTAACAGGTGGACTCTAGCTGGCGGCCGAGTGGCACCTGTCAAGTTGGTCCAAGACTGTGATTGCCCAGGTGAAGCCCAGGTCCAGCAGCTGACAGAGCACATGCCAAGCTCTTACCTGCTTTTCCTTGTCGGATGTCAAATCTGCTTGCACCTTCCAGGATAAAGTGAGGTGGGCCCGATGATAAATCCTGAAGAGCGGAGGAGAAAACCTGTCAGCCTCTTTCACCCCTCCACGGTACCTACAACATCATTCACTTGATTTTTGAGGGGTAGAAGTTAATTCTTAACAGGTGCTTAAATTTTTAATTAGTAAAGCTCCCTTCATTCTTCAGGTTTTACTGCTCTTTGTAAAGCAAGCGTCAAAGGGGTGAATACGTAACTGATGAGACAGGCAATGGACGCATAAGCAAACTACATGAGGAAACAACGTAAGTAAGGACTCAGGTCTTTTGTCAAATAGTCCGTCCTTCTGGTCCCAATAAGCCAGTGTTTTATTAAGAGATTAGAAACAAAAATGAATAGGATACATTAGCTAGATGAGACTTTTCTAAACATAATAAAGTACTGCGGTTTCTCATAGGAAAGCTCTTCTGATGAAATGGTATCTCTCAGAAAGCCACGTCCAGCCATGTGCCTCGTAGGACACAACAGGCTCCCGGTCACTCAGATCTGCATCTGTCCTCTGGCTCACCCCAGACTGAGTGGAGGACTCCATCCTTCCCCAGTCTCCTACTCATCTGCTCCTGCCCACTACACAAAAGGGGGTCCCAAAGGATTCTACAGTGTGGGGGACATTGAGGGAGCTCCCAGTAGAGAAGACCCATGTGAGAGTTCCTGAGGTGGGGTCACCTGGCACTTTGGGGGCGCACCGGGCTGAAGGTCCAGCTCCTACCCGAGCGCTCACCAGCCCTCTGGGTTTGTCCCCTGCTAGGACCCCACAGGATTATCCTCAGCGACTTCTGTGCAGCTCTTTCAGATTTCCATGGTGTATGTTTGCGTAATTTGGTAAACACTCCTTTATCATTTTTTTTCATATTGACAAGTCCTCAGGCAGCAGGGCTGCACAGTGGGAAAAGATTCACTCTCTCAACAGCCATGAAAGCACAGAGTTCTGCACTTGTGGCTCCTGCCAGACCTTCACAAACAAGGTGTGTCCATCTGCAAGCAGCAGTGTAGGGGCCATCCTCTCACTCACAACTAAGCGAGTCCATCAGACACTAGGAGAGGCACACACCGGCTCTCCTGGGAGAGGGAAAGCCAGAGCAGGCTGAACCTGAGAATCTCCCCCAGCCCCAGCAAGCTAGAAGAATGTCCCATGGGGCTTTGGCAGTCTGCTTGGTTTTAAAATAACCCAGGGGTGCTTTAATAACAGCTAATAGTCCCCTCTTTTCTACGGGAAATAAGGAATCATGACTCTAAAAGTTGGCCTCCTGTTACGAGTGAGGCATTTATGATCTTTTACTCTCAGAAATTAGAGAAGACCCTGGAAACCGCATGTTTTTTGGAGCAAGAACAAAGGCAGTGATCCTCCTGACCTACCACTCAGCTCTTCTTCTGCTGTCCTGCTGGAGTCCCTGCTGTGACACACACGGGACAGCCTGTGGAGACCTGCTGTGGAACCCTTTCCCAGTCTTTCTCCTCTGACCTGGAGACCTGGAGCAGTTTCCTCTCCTTTGCTGAAGCTCAGTTCCTCATGGCTAAAATGGGAACCAAAGGTAAGGAGAGCTGGGAGGCTGCCATACGCAACCACTGCCCAGCACTCACTGCTGTATTCCAAATTATTCCCTGTAGGCTCCCAACAGCCCCGCAAAACAAGACAAGTCCTTCCATTCTGCAATGGAGAGAGGATGGGAAATACTTAGCACAGCATCTGACTGGATACAGGTTCGATAAATATTGATTCCCTCCTCCCGTAATCTGCAAAATTAAAAAGGCCACGCTCATGGATAGACCCACAGCCTTAGATGCATCCATTATTAAACAAGACAGAATAAAAACACAAATTAAGCTGTCAATTCATGGATTAAAAAGAAGAAGACAAAAGAGCCTCACAAAAGTAAGAGGAAGGAAGTCATAAAGAGAACAATTTGTGAATTATAAAACAAATGAGAAAAACAGCAAGATTAATAAAGAAAATAATGGTTCTACTTGGGGTGGGGATTAATGTAAGCCCACCGTTTGGCAAATACAGTAGAGAAACCCCAATAAAATTAGAAATAAGAATGGGCGTTAGAGGTATAAAAAATGTAAGGTTTTATGCTGAATGATCTTAAAATACTAATAATTTTCTGATGGAAATTAACATGGCTAAAAATAGCTCAAATTAGTAAATAACCTGGAAGATTAATCACCTTGGGCTAGTATTTTTATACTCCAAAGACTATTTCCCTAATAACCTGTAAAGATTTCTAGGTACAGTTCATGCAGTTTTCCTGCTGAGTTCTCCCAAACTTTCAGGGAATGGGCCATTTCGATGTCAGTTACAATTTCAGTGCTAAGAAAAGAAAGAAGAATCTTGCTGCTATTTAAGTAGCCAGCATAGCCTTGATGGCCAACACACACATGCGCACGCACACACACACGCACGCACACACACACACCAAGCTCCTCTTGACTGCTATCAAATAGATTTTCTGTAGGACTGCAGAACGCAAAGATGGTTTCACATTAGGACATCTCATATAAAATAGCACTTACATGAGCCAAAGGGGGAAAAATTTATGTCCTTTCAATAAATATTATGAAAGCATTTGATAGATACACATCAACTTTCTATGATTTACCTAAAATAATAGAAGTTACCATTCAAGAGCAAAAACTGTGCTAATTTGGAGCAGAATGATTATTTTAATGTGATGAAAATTAAACAACCACCATTTCAAACCTGGAATCAGTTGTTAGTATCACATTTACAGGGAAATACCGGAGTCTTTTGCAGCAGAGCTGGGGCACAGCACCTATGCCTCCTGTCCTCTACATGCCTGTTCCTTCCCCACTGTGAGCTTCGCTCAGAATGAGGGAAGGAAGGCATGGCTGTCAATGATGCCCAGAAGCACTGCAGTCAGCCTGGCTGACTCCCTGAGGGAGACACAGCCCCTAGAGAACTGTGGGTAACTGGCTGAGAGGTGGAAACGCTCTGCCCCGGCAGGTACCCTGGGCCTACCAGGGCAACGGTGAGGTCAGTGTGATAAGATCCTGGGGCTTCAGGCTGAACTCTACCGGATGGTGACTCAGCGTCACCTGGCAGCTTCAAGGACATAGAGATAGCGGGGCCCCTGCTCCCCACAGCTTTGAGTTGGGAGGCCATTTGGTCAGAGGTAGAGTTGGGGACTGATCCTCAGGGGATTCTGAGGCCCAGCTAGGACAAGCGAGGAGGTTCAGAGACCTTGAGCAACACGCTTCAGCCTGTACAGGAATCAGCTGTCTGCCCCAAGGAGCCCTCCCGGTCCGTCTGGCCACCTCAGCATCGAGTGTCTTCCCAGGTATAATGAATGTTCCCCGATGCTGTGTCATACAGAAGGAAGTGGTGATGAATAATGGTTTGTCAATCTAACCAGCTCAGGGTGCTTCCTAGTAAATATTATTTCTGGGCATGTCTGTGAGGGTGTTTGCAGATGAGATTAGCATTTGGATTGGTGGATTTAGTAAATCAGATGCCTTGCTCTGTGCAGGTAGGCAGACCCAATCCACTGAGGGCCTGAACAGCCAAAAGGAGGAGGAAGGGAGAATCTGTTCCTTCTCTGCTATCTGATTAACCTTAGACATCAGACTTCTGCCCTCCTCCAACTGGGAACCAGACCAGTGGCTCCCCTGGGTCTCAGGCCCCCAACTCACACCACCGGTTTTCCTGGGTCTCCAGGCTGCAGGCTATGTACGGTGGGACTCAGTCTCCACAACTGCCTCACAATACACCTCTCCTAATACGTGAATTAATACACTATCTACACACATATAAAATCAAATGTACATGCAATATTTAAAACATACTTGCAAAATATACATAACTCATGCTTGCCTAATACACAGTAAGTCCCCTTGAGAACATTCAAGTTTCCAATGAATCTTGCATGAGGAACATTCACAGATGTGGACAAATTGTGGAAGTAGCTCACAGGGCTACTGGACACTGTTGCAGTTTTGCTGCTGTGTGCTCACTGTATAGTGTGATAGTGTACAGTATCCATGTGTGTGTTTGGCTTTTTTATACACTACATTGTATATTTATGCCAAATGCGTATAAGACTCTCTTTGTTGGACTTAGGAAGGAATCTGATTTACGCATGATCCCCCAGAATGGAACTTGTTCTTAAATTGGGGATTTACTGTATATAAAATAAGCACATCAATATATAGCTATGAAATCAATGGGCTCTATAAGGTAGAAGGTACAATAGGACAAAGTATCAATGTATACACTGATAAATTATTGATAACAAATATATACATATATATGATATGATATATATTATTGGTTCTGTGTCTTTGGAGAAACTTGAATAATACAGAAGCCAGTGGCATTAGACAAACCAAGTAAGCTTAGTAAACTAGTTCCAGGTTGTGGGGTGATTTCTGTGATATTAAATGTGTCAGAAGCTCACAGAATGCAAGAGTCCCTGGGATCTTAGCAAACTGTGTCTCTGTGGTGGCACCAAACTGGCCTTCGTCCCCGCGTCATCTCTGCAGGTGCTATTCCTGCTGTGACAGATATGCATCTCCCAGCTTTCTCTCTGAAGGCTGCTCATGAGTATCCCACACAGTGTTCTGCTCTTGGATGAGGGAACCCTGGGCCTAATTAGCATCCTGCCATTCGGCTCTTCTGGACAATGGCCAGAGTTTAGGCTGAGACAGGTGGCAATGTCATTCTCTTTTCTATTTTTCCCAGAGAGCTTTGAAACTTTGGCATCGCAGTTCTTTGGCTCAGTGGCAACTGGCTGCTGGCATAGTCACTTCTGCTGCCTTCTGTTACCTATTACCCGATGGGATGTCTTCTCAACCTACCCTACACTCTTACCTCTACTTTCTCACCTTTTCCTTTTCCGAGGACCCCATTTCGGTGTGAGGAAAACCATTTCTGTGAGAGATCCCAACAGAAGCTGCTCTTGCTGCCTCGATGATAAGCACTGTTACCTGGCTAGGCAGTGCTTCCCTAGCCAGGCCACAGGCTGGACCCCTAATGGGGCTGCATGCGGAGCTCCAAGCACCCACCAGATGACATGCTTTGGGCACACTGCCCATTCTCCAGTTGAGAGATGAAAGATCTTTCGCTACAGAATAGGGACAAAGCTAAAATTCCAACCTCTCGGTCTGGTCTGACACAATGGGGACAGTTGTGAAGATCTGTCATCTCCTACAATTCTATGCTGTCCAGTATGGCACCCACAAGCCACCTATGGCTATGTAAATGAAATAAAACTACAACTTCAGTTCCTTGGTCACAACGCCCACATTTCAAGGGCTCGATAGCCGCATGGGATCAGTAGCTGTGTAATGAACAGTGAAAGAACTACCCAGATTTTCTGTGAGGAATTGGCTCAAACAATTGTATAGGCTGAGAAGTCCCACAGTCCACAGCCTGCAATCTGGAGACCCAAGAAAGTTAGTGGTGTGAGTCAGAGGCCTAAGAACTAAGGGAGCCAGTGGTGAACTTCCCAATTTGAGGGCAAGAAAGACTTCTGTTTCAGCTCAATCATTCAGACAGAGAAGGGGATCTTCCCTTCCTCCATTTTTCTGAGCTCATATATTTCATGAGGACAATTAGTATCACAGGATTGTGAGAGTGATTACACGAATACTTGAATATAACGTGTTTAGCATTACACCTAACACATGTGCACATTTGACAAATCGGATTTGTTACTCACAAAATAAAAATCTTCCTAAGGGATCCCTTGAGCACCAGATTTAGGTTACAGAAATAATACACACATAGCTCTTGTGTAAGTATAATGCTTGTTATTGTTTCTTGCCGAGACCAGGGATTCCAGAAGCACCAAGACGGATGAGTCCTTGAGTCTGCTCACTCTAAGGGCACAGGCTATTGCAGTACTTGACTAAGACGGTGGTGGAGAGGGTGTTAAACGAAGAGGCCCAGAAGGAAGCGGATTGTTAATTAGTATCTGTTTCAATTGTGAATCAGATTAATTATTAGAGGGAAAAGAGGACAAGAAGAGGAATGAAGAGGCAGGAAAAGGAAGAAAAGGAGAGAGGGAAGGAGGAGGGAACAGGGAGGAGGGCGGGAGGGAGGGAGAGGGAGAGACGGAGACGGAGAAGGGACATAAAGCAAAGTTTCTACCAAACTGAGATAAACACTCAAGGTACGATATCCACAGTGGTTTAGCAGTCTCCTGGAGTATGGAGTTTCCCCACTGTCTCGAAGAGGTCAGCATGTGGAGGTGGCCGCAGGAGCCTTGGTGCCCTCTCTGCCATTATACAGTTGAAGTTCAAGATGCACCCACCAGACCTCTGGACAGGCACTGAGCAAGCTACAGAGTAAGCCGCAACCTTCTAAAAGTAGCGATGGGACTCAGAATATGAGAAGAAAGGTATTCTGCATACTTCCTGCCAACGCTTTGGAGATAGTCATTCACTCATCCATCCACCCATCCTTCCTTCCTTCCATCCAAGTCCTAACAAATTTCCTACTAGGCTGTCAGGTCCATGCAGGGGAAAAATTATCCCCCCAACGTCTTCCTCTGACCCATATAACCCCTTGGGAGCATTTGCTAAAACTGGCTGAGAAGCTGAGCTGTCTGGATGAAGGAAATGCCGAAAGGCCAGGGGAACAGCCTAAGGCAGCTGCTGTAAGACAACCCTCTGTGGTCAATCACAGGAACCACAGCCACAGTTTAGTTAGTACCTAAGGGTGCTAGACTCTGTTCTCAGTATTGTACTCATTTACTCCTTAAAATAAGTAGATGAGGCACAGGTGCTATTTTTTAATCCCTATTATTTTCACCAAAAAAAAAATGGAAATAAGGGCAGAATATAAATGGAGACATCTACTTTTGAGAGACTGTGTCCTGTTTACCCACATGACGTAGCGGATTCTGTTGTTGCAGAAAATATAACTGGTGGTCAGAAAAAGCCCAGAATATAATGTATGCTTCTGATGCAGCCTTACAGGGACGATTAGTGGTACCTCAGTTCACGAATTTAATTCTTTCCATGATTCTGGTTGCAAACTAAATGGGATGAGAACCGAATCAAGCTCAGTGATGAGGTTCAGTATTGACTTTACGGGAATATTTTATTTGATTCTCGTCTCACTCTGTGTGTGACAGGATCATGGAAAGACTTAAGTTTGTGAACTGAGGTACCACTGCAGCGTGGTGTCAAGAATTCAGATCTTGAGCCAGACACCAAGGTTCAAATCTCAACTCTACCGCTGTCTAGGTGGGTGACTTGGGTAGGTCACTCTGCTCTCTGTGTCTGCTTCTCATCGCAAAAAGGGACTATTAGGACCTCAGCACAGAGTTACTACGAGAATTCAGTGAATCACAGCACCTGCAACCAGGCTAATGTTATGGTCAGCACGGTGGGTGTCGGCTCTTCCACCCGGGATTGAACCAGGCTGGTAGAGTCTCTCTTCCTAAGGTTCTTGGCAGTCACAGCTATAAGCTTTGGCCGTCAAGGACATCACTGTGTTGAAGAGGTGAGTAGCTGGCTTTTCCCTCTGCCGTGCTACATGGAAAATGGACCAACCCAAGGTTTCTCTACTGCACACGTAAACCAGCAACATGTGCAACTGGAGAGTCAATCATTCATTCATCCAAATCCCAGCAAAGTCCTTATGAAGCTGTCGAGTCCAAGTCCACGCAACGTGTGGGGCCTGGAGTCTTAGTTTAACATCCAGGGCCTTTCCCCCCACTAAATGTGTCATCTTAGGCGAGTCTCATTACCAGTCCGAGCCTCATTTTGTTTTTTTCTATTAAATTAGAAAACAAAGGACATAAGAGAAGACATCCAGAAAGCTCTGGGAAAGTCCTTGCAAAGTAAGCATCGGTAATTGTGTGAAGTGGCAAATAGAAATATGATATTTTAAAAGAGGTGCTAGAATGAAAAATCACATGGGAAAATTCAGGTGTTTTTTTTTTTTTTTTTTTTTTTCCGATGAGGAAAGCAAAACTCACAGGGCCCCTAGCTGCCTCCTCTGCTTTTGCTTCCTAGTATGATTCTGCCTGAGGCTTTTCACTTGTTTGCCTCAGTTTCTCCTTACTCCCACAAGACATCACAAGTTAAGATGTTGCTGAAATTAGATAATAAGAAACTCTCACCCTTTCTAAATAGAAATGTTATAAATTCCTCAAGACTATAAATATGGTCTCTCATCTATGGCTCAGCACCTTGTGAGAAAAAAGAAAAAAAAAAAAAGAATCCACCACTTTCTAAAAGAATCTCAGCTTTTGAAAATAATAAAGGGAAAAAAACGACCCTTCAGAATTTTTAAAAATAGACTTCTCTGCCTCCTCAGCACTTCTTGGGAGATAAAGGCCAGAAGAAGAATTTGTTGTTGGCGACTTACTACTGATGGCTGATGAGGGGGACCAAAGAAGGTGGAAATCACCCATCTTTCTTTCTTTAAGCAGCATCTCAGGCCCTACCTGACCTTCACTAATCCTCTCCTTCCTCTAAATATAAATCTGTCTCATCTGAGGCCAGCTGTGTCCTCCAGAGCTTGGTCATGATTTCTGCTTCCCAAGGGCAGAAGGGAATTTGCTATCCATGAACCAGACAGATACTGTTGGGGTATCATGGCCTCTTACTGGGTGTTATCGGAAAATACCTCTGCTAAATAACTTAAACTGACCTTAATTAATGTGCTCAGTAGAGAGCTTGGCATTCAGTGCTTGGTAATGGTGTTGATAAAACTGTCATTTGTGTGCTAAATTTGGTACTGTTTTCTCTTGTTCTAGTTCCGCCAGCAGTGTTTGGAGACTTGAATAGGGCATTTGGACACCAGGACCCTCCGTGGGGTTCTTATTTAGTTCCTTTGAATCAACAGTAGTCCTGATGAGGCAACGAGAACTTTGAGATTCCTGTGAAGTATGCTATGCTCTAAAACTGAGATAGTTTCAGAGAGACCAGGGAGACCTCTTGTTTTGGCTTGTATCTAGATGTCTCACCACAAAGCCTCATGGACTCATAGGTAGGGCTCTGCAGAGCTTGCTGGCTCTAGAGTCTGTGATACTGAGATTAAGGGAGTGTAGTTCTAAATTAGTCCACTGATTCGAATTAGCATAGTTCTGGATGTGGCTGAATAGATTTCCTGGAGACCGAAGCCCCGCCTGGGTGAAGGTGGTACCACCCAAGAGCCTGGATGGGGCAAAAGGGAAAAGCAGGCTTGGTGCTTGGTACTTGCTGCATGCTGCTCTCCGTGACATGAACTATTAAAAGACACCCCCGCCCTTGCTACAAGGTGCAGTGAACAGCTGTCGGTGGAGGCAGGGGAGTGAGTGGTTTGAACATAGCCTTGCTATATCTTCCTCATTTTACAGTGGATGTCTAAAATTCTTTTACGGGTGATCAAGCCTTTACAAGATTGAGAGTGTGAATAAAAAAGAGAAAGGCAAGGCGATTATTTAAATTCATCCTATAGTATAAATTACTGACATGATATATTCCCTTTGAGTAAATTCTAATAGGAAAGGGAACATAAAGACACTGACACCTGGAGAGAATAAAGGGTGAGAGGCTGATAGATGGGCTCAATTATGGGGGGGGGAGAACCCTAAAGACCAGCGATGACAAGCCTCACACCCACGGCTTCCCCTTTTTCCTGTGAGAGAACAGAGGCATTTTAATTTAGTGGCAAGCTCAGTGAGAGGACTGGATGGGGACCCATCGTTGGGGATCCTACTCCAGGCACCTTCCCGTCTCACTGAGCAGATATAACACTGTAGCAAGGGACTGGGTTGATTTCATTCTTCCTCTAGCTTGGTTTGGTCCATGTCTGAAAATTGTCCCAGGTCTATCTTCCTTCCACTGGAAGGTGTCATGGTGGGCTGCTCCACGGGACCCAGAGCTACCTGTGCTTCGGAGGGCTCACTCACCTGTGGCCGCATCCACTTCAGGGTGGAAAGGTTTTTTCTTTGCAGCAGCTTCTGGCCTATGGAAGAAGGTTCAGCAGGAAATGTCTCATCCACAAACGACTTTCTCCTGCTCAGGCAATGGTCCCGCAAGGAGTTAAAGTCCTGATCCTTGAACTTGATGACGGAGGTCTCTGTGAGAGGGTCAGGGTTATGTGCCATGACTCTCCTTGGAAGACTTCTGAGGTCCTTTCCTTCTGGTGAGGAAAATGCATACGTTTAGGGGTAAGTGGTCAAGACCTGGCATCATCAGATGTAAGTCCCAGAAGGGCATTCTTGTCTCCACCTTTTATAAGTGGGGGAACTGAGACCCAGATCCTTCTTGTGCCTGGTGATACAGCCAAGTTGGTGGGTGAGCCTGAACTAATCCCTACTTCAGTTCAGTGTTCAATCCACTGTACCAAATAGTTTCTCAGCATGTTTTTATGGGCACCAAAGGCTGTGGGAATATCTATATATTTAATGCACATTTATTGAGCAGTAAACTTGTGCCTGGCATTCTGAACACTAGCAATCCAAAGACGGCACAGCATGATCTTTATCCCTCAGGGACTCGTTATCAAGTAGGAAAGACGGTTGAGACATTTCAACAACCAGATATTGCACAACAGAAATTATTCAATTAAAAATGTGTACCAAATCCTGTGGACATAATAAACAGGAGGGGCTATGCGCTCTACGAACAGTCTGGGAGGACTCTTCAGTAGGCAGTGACCTGCGAATTGGGCCTTGAAAATTTGCCAGGTGGAGAACTGGGTTGGCAAAATCGTGGGTGTGGAGGGGATGTGGAGCGACTAGAGGGTTTGGTGAGATGGCCAGAAGGGTGGGCTGGGCAACGGGTCTGAAGTGTTTTATATCCTATCAGCACTGCAGGGCGATGGAAGAGTTGGAGTCTTGCGAGGTCTGTCAATGTGATGGTGCTGCTAGGCGCAAGAGGGGGCTAGAAGGTGGGGAGGATGGGTAGAGACTAGAGAGGAGAGGAGGCTATAAGGCTGCTGCTTTTGCCTATAGGAGAGACAGTAATGGAACATAAATAGTAAAGATGGTGGAGGGGAGACACAGATCCTAGTATCACCTTAGAATTAGAACCAATAGGGTTCAATAATGAACTGAATATGGGAAACAAGGGGAGGAAAAAGAGGAAAAAGAAAAAGCAGTGGGGAATAGACACGTGAGTGTGCTCTCACCGTTTACTTGTTGGTTCTGTAAAAGTGAGCTAGAGTTTAAGCTTGTGAGCCTAATTCTTCATTCTTCATCTGTATGGGTTGATCATACCAGCCTCAGAGGGTTCACTGCAGTGTTAAATAAGGCTTGGCCTATCTGATGACATTTCAGAGTGGTGGGCATACAGTAGGCGTTCAATAAATGTGTGTCCAGTTCTCTCAAGGGAAAGACGGCTGAGGTTCTACTTTTAGGCAGCTTCAGGGATGCGACGGATACCATTTACCACAATATGCATCACCTGTTCTGCCCATGAGGCTGACCTAGATCTGCATCCCAAACTCAGGTTATTAATGGAGAAATCTCCCCTGGCCTTACAGTAGTGGTTCTGAAGATTCTTTGGCCACCATCTGCTTAGGTGGCAAGAAAGACCCCACAGTTTGCATGTCCCGCCCATTGCCATACCACAGTGAGCAAAGGATGCAGGAAGGACATATATAAATGCCTTACAGAGAGAGAGCATGAACATACACTCAAGATTTTGAATGCCAGAAAATATATGCAAACTTAAAGTAACTTGGCAATTACCTTGCCATTACCTTATAATGGTAGGTGGCAAATTATTTAGATAGCACGAATCCAGAGCCAGAATATCACCAATTAAGTGTCATTGCACATGCTTATTGAGAGAGAATTGCACATACAACTGCCTTCCAGACAAGACAGTAGTAATTTACATCTGAGCTAATAAATTGAAACACCAAAATTGGCATTTTTATGGGTTAAAAATAGGTGAATATAGTCAGATTCATATGGTTTAACCTAAGGTACAAAGTGGTAAAATACGTGCAGTTTCACATGCCTAATATATGTATTTCTTCATCCTAGTTCTTGGAAAATAACAGACTAAACTATTCAACGTGCCTCACCACTCACAATAGGATTACATAGAGAACCACAGCAAATTAAATAAATAGTGATAAAGCTAAAATAGCAGCAAGGCATCATTCAAGAGCAAGGATAGTGATGGAAACTAGTCATCAATTCAAGGCAAAGGTACTGACACCTAGTAATGAAGAGTTGGGAAAATTATGGGTTTACCAATGGCATCTGTGCCTGGGGACAGAGGAACGAACAGAGCGCTGCCAAGCCTCCGTCCTCTCAAATATTGGAGCTTGTGATGAACTCCAGTAACGAGCTACTGTTATAAAATTTTATTTTTATGGGAACCAAATTGTAGTTATCCTTAGTAACACAATTATAGGATTGCTAGTAAGAAGCCATTTGTTGCATATAAAAATAAAAACCTAAAGCATTGCTGCATTTTTTTCCTTTCGAATCGTGTAAAATCCCTACATAAGGGAGTCAATTCTCAGCCCATGTGGGGGCCCCCCCCCACTGCCCACCGTGGGTAGTAGGTTGGCCAGACTTTAGGAATCCCTTGTAAGGTTCACTTTCATCATTTGTGAAATGGAGAGGAGATGATATGACACACGGGATGGGGCTGTGGTGAGACTTGGATGGAACCATGCTTGCAGAATGCTTAGTCCTGTGACAGGTAGATAGAAAGCAGTCAATATATAACCATTATTAATATGATGATCGTGACCACTGTTTAGTATGAAAGGGCTGTGTAGAGGCCTGGCACCCTCAGAGACAAGGACCTGCTCAAACCTAAGGACAGGCTGGGCTCAGGGGACCTGCAGGGGCCAAACATGGTGGGCAATCACACCTCTGTCTGCTCCCTGGCTGCTCAGGCCGAGGTGGGAAGGGAAAAGGTGCTGAGAATACATAGCAGGCAGATGTCTGTGCTGGAGGAGGTGGCTGTTCGGGGGTGGAGATTTAGAGAGGAACTGGAAGGGAGGCAGGTGGAGAAGCTTTCTCAGCCTCTACACACACTCTTCACACCTCCCAGGGCCGCCTCCTTTCTCTCTGGATTGTTCATCCAGAGAACACGACAGTATTTTACTTTTGTGTATCCCAGAAAAGACCAACCCATCTTCCTGTGTGTCACTTTGGAGAGGGAGTTTGGTTTCTTCTCTTCCCTTCTTGTCTGACTTTGTAAGGCACACAAGGGCAAGACAAGATTCTGCTGCTTTAAGAAAGAGAATCAGGGGGACGAAGGCCAACCTGATGTTCAGGTTAAAGTCTGTCTTGCTGTAAAGTATTTCTTGGAGGTGGCAAAAAAAATGACACAGGAGGAGTTGACGTGAAGAGTTGACATGAGATTCTTCCTGTGAGTAATTGTGTAAGCTAATGATCAAGCTTCAGAAGCAGGAAGAACGTGTACTTGGGGCTATGAAACCCCCGCTGCTCCTCACCTCACTATGAAGGAAACAAGCTGAATGTGGGCTCCCCTGACTCCTGAGAGAGGGGACGTCTTAGTCAGCTCAGGCTGAATAACAAAATATCGCAGACTAGGGCAGTGATGGTGAACCTGTGGCACATAGACCACAGCAGGCACACAGAGGCCTCTCCGTTGGTACACAAGCCGACTCACCCCAGCAGCTGAGCATCAGGTAACAGTTGCTTTTTTTCAAAGCTAAAACCACAATATTTGGGGTTAACTGTAGTGTTGGCACTTGGTGATAAGTAAGTGAATTTTGGGTTACCGTTTGGACACTTGGTCTCTAAATGTTTTGCCATCGCTGGACGAGGGCTTTCAACAAAAGAATTTATTTTCTCACAGTTCTTTCTGGAGGCTAGAAGTCTGAGAACAGATTCCCAGCTTGGTCAGGTTTTGGAGTTCTGGGTGTATCAGTCAGCTTTCCCATTGTTGGGACATACTACCCAATGCCCCCAAGTCAGAAAAGAGGTTCAATTTGGCTTATGGTTACAGATGAGTCAGTTCATGGCAAGCTGGCTTCCAGGCAGGAATATCAAGGCAAAGCACATGGCAGAGCAAAATTGCTGAGTTTATGGTGCCTGGGAAGCAGAGAGGGGGAACAGAGCCAGAGAGGGATAGGTGAGGGACCACATTTACTACTAAAGGTCATGCCTCTGTGACTCACCCAGACACTCACCAAAGAGAGTGCTTTACTAATCTTCTAAGCATTTCCTAATCCAATGGAGTTGGATTGACATACTCACCTTAATGGTCACATGGCAGGGAGAGGAGGCCAGGGGCAGAAGGCAGACACAGAGAGATTGAGACTGTTCCCTCTTTTTGTTACCATCAGGTCCTGCTATTATGACACCTTTGACCTGCATTCCTCCTAAAGACTCTATCTCCAGAAACAGGCACATTGAGGGATGGGGCTTCATAAAATTCGGGGGAACATGGTTCAGGCCACAGCAGTGACTAACCTCAGGCTGACTCCACAGCTCTCCTGGCTCTGGTTATGTATTACAGGGTGTATGGAGATCCAAGAGGAACTGGGACACAGCAACCAGGACTTCAGAGTACAGATGAAGGGTACCAACGGACATGAGGGCAAATAGCAGAGCAGCACCTGACTGCTGAGTGTACAAATGTTATTTGAATCGATAGAAAGACCGTGAGGGCTCCTTCATGGTAGAAATGTCTTTGATACTTGAAAAAACATGGATAAATCTCAAAAATCACTATGCAGAGTGAAAGAAGCCAGTCACGACAGAATGATTTCATTCATAGAAAACGCTAGAAAGGCAAACTAATGTACCACAATAGAAAAAGTTTAGCGATTGCTTAGAAATGGGGTGGAGGGAAGATAGATCTCAAAGGATCATGAAAAAACTTTGAGGGACAATTCAAATATTATTTTGAGTGTGCTGGTGATTTCATATGAATATATGTATGCAGGAGCTTGTCAAATCCTACACTTTAAATATGTACCATTTTGTATGTTAACCACACTTAAAGTTGTTTAAAAATTAAGTGCTATGCATAGTTTATACAGTGTTCGGCAACTTTTTTTTTTTTTTTTTTTTTTTTTTTTTTTAGCCCTACAAGAGTAGTTGAGTTCTATTTATTTTGATTGCTATAGAACATGTTAGCCCTTTACCTTTTATTTAGATATCTCCTCTCAATGGATATTTAATATTATTTTCCTCTCTG